ATATATATATATATATATTTCGATTATATTAATTATACATTATTTGCATTGACGTTAGAAATACACACACACACACACACAGTCAGTCACAATAATTAGTTACCTTAAAAGTTGTAACTTCGAAATTCTAAAATATAGGACATCTAGCTCCCGGTCACCCCTATAAATTTCGCACGCGCGAGACGTGAATTGCGAATAAAGAATTTTGTAAATTCAATTAAAAATTGGCGGATCTTATACAAACTCACGCGTACTGGAGAATTACGGAAAGAACAAATGATATGATGGCGTAAATGATACATTTGTAGAGCTTGGTGTATGGACAGGACGCTGTCGCAATCTAGAAAATATATAGCGTCTTCTCTGGGCGCAAGGTATGCCGAGCCCGTAATCACGCTCTTGGACGTGATGCATAGCGAGTCGAGGCCGAATACACCGATGATCTGTTTCTTAAGCATGGGATCGGACCCCACACCCAGTATCGAGCAGCTCGCGAAAAGAATGGAGATCGTTTGTAAGAGCATATCGATGGGACAGGGTCAAGAAGTTCATGCTCGTCGACTACTCAGTAGCGCGAAAACTGAGGTACACTACACCGCGAAGAATTCTCTCCCTTGCCCCCAAGGCACGTTTGTTGCGAGCATCGAACTTTATTAATCGAAGCGATTTGCAGGGTTTCTGGGCTCTGTGCCAAAACTGTCACTTAGGCTTGGAGTACATGACGGAATTAGCGAACTTCATCTTGGAAATGGAAGCACCTCATCCGAATTTCCGCGTCTGGATCACGACGGAACCGCACAAGGATTTTCCTGTCTCCTTGCTGCAAATGTCCATAAAGTACACATACGAAGCTCCGCAAGGTATTCTCTCTGTTTCTTCAAACACAGAGATATTTTTGTGCAAAGAAGAAGCGTTTCAACGTTTGATCTCTGCTCTTCAGGGATACGCGCAGGTTTAATGGCGACGTACAGCGGCATGAATCAGGAAATGCTGGATCAGTGCGACGTCGTGCAATACATACCGCTAATATACACTGTGTCTTTCCTGCACACCGTCGTTCAGGAGAGACGAAAATTCGGTCCTCTGGGATGGAATATACCGTACGAATTTAATTTGGCGGATTGGCTGGCGTCCTGCATGTTCATAAATAATCACTTGAACGATTTCGATCCGAAGCGCGGGATAAGTTGGCAGACAGTACGGTAAACGAAAAAGCCCGAGTATTTCGACTCTTCTTCCTAACGACGGCTATATTGCGCATAAATTTACATTTTCAGTTACATGATAGGCGAGGTGCAATACGGCGGTCGCGTTACCGACGACTACGATAAGAGACTGTTGAATACATTCGCGAAAGTGTGGTTCGCGGACGCGCTTTTCGCGGAAGGTTTCGTCTTCCATAAGAGTTATCCGCTCTTGATATTTAAACAAGTGAGCGACTATTTGAAGGCGATAGACGCCATGAGCACCGTAGATCCGCCGCAAGTGTACGGTCTGCATTCGAATGCGGATATCACGTGGGTATTTTCGCACACTCTACATTTGCAACGTTAAACGCGCGAAAGAGTGTGGGCGAAATGTGCACTGAGGAGTTGGGCGGGTCGTGTTGCAGATACCAGAGTAACACCACGCAGACGGTGCTGGATATGATAATATCCGTGCAACCGAAAGAAGCAGGCGTCACTGGTGCGGAATCCCGAGAAGTGGTTGTCACGAGACAAGCGAAGGAGATGTTGGAGAAAGTCCCACAGACGTACGACATGTTTGAAGTGAAGGCCAGGTTTGCAAAACGCCTTTATTCATCGGCTTCTTTTTCGTGATAACACACTGTTAAATATTGGAGGATCAAATTTAAACCAATTTCTTGAGTTAAATAATATTTAGTTATTTTTAACTATTATGTGTGTCAAAATTTACTATTTTAACACAAAACATGTGTTTAAAAAAACATCTAATCAACCCTTTTAAACCAATATTAAGTCATTTTTTATTAAAACAAAGGTTACATTAACATGCACATAATAAAAAATAAACTAAATTTTAGTCAAATTTAATACATTTCTTAAGTTAAATTATTTAACTCCATTACATTAGTTAAATTAACGACATATTTAGTAGGAGCAGTGGCGACTTATAGAAATGGTTAAAAATAACTCAAATTGAGTATAATTTGACACTACGGATTTAACAGTGCAGACTAATAGAAGAATGACGCGTTACATGCCGTAGATTACACGCGATGGGACACACCGCTCCGATGAATATTTTCCTGAAACAAGAGATCGATACAATACAAGTGGTTATAAAATTAGTGCGCGTCTCGTTGAGGGATCTTCTTCTGGCTATAGAAGGTGTAATTATAATGTGTGAAGTAAGTTTGCATTAAAGTCCTAATTACCTGCGATTATAAAGCTGATTATTGAGCATTGCAGAGAGGAACGAATGAATATTATTCTAGAGACGTGAAAATTATTAGAATAATTTTGGTTTCTTTACTTATTTTTTCAAATTGTTCTTTTCAGTAAATACTTAATTTCTGTATATTTAAGGAACTGCGGGACATGCTCGACAGTATATATGACGCCAGAATACCGAAGACATGGAAAGCGCGATCGTGGGAATCGGCTTCGTTGGGTTTTTGGTTCACGGAATTGTTAGAGCGAAACCAACAACTCTCGATTTGGTTATCGAGCGGGAGACCAGCGAAATTTTGGATGACTGGATTCTTCAGTCCGCAAGGTATATGATACGTTTCCGTGTTAAACGAGTTTTTAAGACGCGATTCTTGCATGAAGATCGATATCTAGCATTTGTAATCACTTGTGTAATCCCCTAAAAAAATATCCCCTAGCAAAAAATATTTCTCAAGCATTTCGGGAATATTATTTGTAAGATTAAAATATTATATTATATATTTTTAAAAAATTGTAGCAACATTCTTATGTCCGCAGTTAAACACTATTTCTGCAATGTTCTTGAAATATTTCAACTAATGTTGTAAATATATTTATAAAATCTCTTAATACAATATTTTAAGAATGTTGTAGAAAAGTTACTAGTATTTAAATTATATTTCACCAACTTAGTGGTAAAGTAATTTATACAACTTCCTATACAGGATATATTAAAAGGTACAAAGACTTTTAGAATAAAGGTAGAGATAAATATATTTATAATTAATATTATAATTATTATATTGATATTATATAATACTATTACACATCAAATATATATTTTTGCAATATTCCAAGAATATTAAAAATATATAACGTTAGATTAACATTGTAACAATATTCTGCAATATTTCCTATAGAATATTACAATTACAATATTCCTGAAATATTTCTGCAAGGTTATATGTTGTAATATTGTAATATCCCTGCAATCTTTTAGCAATATTTTGTGCTGTAGAAAATATTACTTTAATATCTGCTACACGATGCGTAATTCCTCATGCACATGTCGCTTGTGCTTTTGTGTGTGTGTGTGTGTGTGTGTGTGTGTGTGTGTGTGTGTGTGTGTGTGTGATTAAGTCTCTTATTAAAAATACAATATATTTGATTGACTCGACGGATCCGCAGGATTTTTGACGGCGATGAAGCAAGAGATAACGCGAGCTCGGAAAGGTTGGTCCTTGGACAACGTTACACTTCACAATGAAGTTTTACGTAATATGGCAGAGGAAGTCAAGGTGTCGCCTTCCGTACGTAATTAAAATCGCACAAGGTGCATTTAGTAATACTTCCAATAGTGCCTTAAGTTCGTCTTAAAGTTCTCTATAATATTAAAATGATATTAAAAAAGATGGTATGATATATATACCATTTAAAAAAAAATTCATTGTAATCTTGTTGTTTTACATAATTTGTACATAGGTAATTTTGTGCAAAAATTAACGATGTTCGATGTTCGCAAAACAGGAAGGTGTTTACGTATTCGGATTATTTTTGGAAGGTGCCGGGTGGGACAGAAGAAATAACCGTTTGTGCGAATCGGCAAATAAAGTGCTCTACGTGCTGATGCCAGTCATACATATTTTTGCTTTGTACAACTCCTCGGAAAAGAGCCCAAAATTGTATCAAGTAAACATAAAAGTTAAACCAATAATTTTTGCACGAAACATTCAACTACAATTTATAATTACGTGAAATCTATAATATCGTACGATATAATTGTATAAGGCCAAGTTCCATAACATCCGTTTAATTTTAACTATAGGTTAAGTCCCAATAATGATTTGTTAATTCTGATTAACTCTTCTTAATGTCAAACGCGATTGGTCAAGCCCAATAGAATAACCAGCCAGTTAAGTTAACTGGAAGTTGTGAAACTGAGCCTAAATCTTCTTTTTTCCACAGTGTCCCGTATATAAGAAACCTAAGAGGACTTATATGTTGTTAATAACACCACTTTGGCTGCAGACTCTAAAAAGTCCTGAACACTGGATACTGCGCGGCGTGGCGCTTTTGTGTGATAATAAATAATAATATTTAATAAAGTACGAAAATTTACCTCAAAAGTGTTGATCCGGATAATGGTTTCCGAAGCAAATTCACGTGAGATAATTCATCTACGCGTGCAACGGATAATTAAACAAACCATTAATTAATACTCTAAATAAAAACTGACGGTTGGATCATAGAGAGACTCGCGACGAGTGAATTAACAAATAAGTTTTAAAGCCGCACATTTAAAAGCCGGTAACTTCGCCGCGACAAGTCTGAATTACCGACGTCGCGAATATTGCGAGTGATTACGGGTAGAAAGTGCCGCACTCTGTGACGCGGCGAGCAAACTATGACGCGCAGTTGAGTTCAAATTTTAAGTAACCGCCTGGAAAGAGTAGTGCGAGGTGCACACGGTACTTTGCATGGTATCTTGTAGGATTCGCATCGTTGTACTCCTTGAATTTTGAGTAATTAGTCGCGAAAAGTAACACTGCGGAAACATGATTGGAGACGAGACGACTCAATTGACGATTACAGTAAGTGTCGCATGTCGTATATCATCTCGTACGCTGAGAAAGTTGTACACGCACCGGCGTTAATGCCGTCCGAATATCCGTGTGACT